GGTTCGTAGCTAAACTAACTAACTAGTAAAGTAAGTAGTAGTTACTTGTTAGTTTTTACTACGTACCACGCTCTCTCACACACAACAAAACAAACAAACTAACTACTCTCTCTCTCTCTCTCTCTCTCTCTCTCTCTCTCTCTCTCTCTGTAACATATGATCACCTCAAAAACACGAGAAAAAAAAGTGTGCTTTCCTGATTATATAGTCTCCACCATCCATGACTCCAAAACCCAAAAACTCCCAAAAAAATCACTCTTTTTATTGTTTCTCACGCTAAATTATGAACTTGTTCACCAAGTTCGCTCTGAAAGAGAGACACAAGAAATGCGGGACTGTCGAATCGGTTCCTATTTCAAAGGCCGATGACAGATCTGGTGTACAAGGCAAATACCGCGGCCACCAGATAGATAGAGAGAGAGAGAGAGAGAGAGTCTCAGGCAAATGAAGAGAGAATCATGTCATGTGTGGAGGAGGAAAGCCGTAGGGGTATAAAGAGCAAGTTAGAGAGAGAGAGAGAGAGAGAGAAAAGGAAGCATTTGGATGGATGGGGTGAGCCTGGTTAGAGAGAGATTTTAAGACAGATGCTTCCGGCCACCACGCCAACTGTGTGTGAGGTCGGTGGCTGATTTGCATGTTCTTTTCTTGGTAAACCAAATATTTAAAGATCAGAAAGATGATGATGAACCTTCCATATTTATGACTGCATGCGATTCTCTACCTTCTACGTCCAGAATATCACGGCCATCATATATTTCATATGCGCATGCATTTGCTTTCACTCCCCCCCTCTCTCTCTCTCTCTCTACCGTGCTCTCTATACACATGTTTGTTGTCTCTCGACATTTGTAAGGCGCTATGTAACCTCTCAACACATGTAAGGAGGAATGGAATCCCCAGTCAACGTCTTCTACATTTTGATTCCCTCGCACCATCTCACTCATCTCTTCAAAAAAAAAATTATTCCAAAAAAATGGCCCTGCCATATATAAGGCTGCAACCTTATAATGTAAAGCTGCATATGCACTTCTTCAAAAATCTAACGAAAAATGTTGTTTTAATGTTGAAAAACCATTTGATTGATCATCTCGACGTAGAGATGTATATGACTATGAAAAATAAAAAATTTTGAGTTCCAGAAATAGTGCATCTTACAACATATTATCTATACCGTCCATTTTCAAGATTTTCATATCTTTATAGATGTACTTGATTTTAACTATTTTTTAA